AATACAAACCATGACAGATGTAGTATTGCATAGGGTGACTGCAGAAGTACCTTCCATGGAAAGCCATGCAAACCCCATGGGGTTACACGAAAGATGCAGACAGCAGGTGAGGAGAAAGCAAACAGTAAGCAGGTAAGGTTGGGAAGATCATTTAGGCATTATAGATCTTACAGTGATTCTTGTAGGCAGAGTAAGATTTACTGGGATATTTAAAAGGACACTGGAGATACGTGAGTTTCATGCAGAAGAGGAATGCCTATGTGATGATTTGGAAATTGGGAAATATTCAGCTTAGCAGAAAACAAAACATGGTTTCCCAAGGGATATTTTTCCCCCTCTGCAAATATGAGTTTCAATGAATACTGATGAAGGTCTAAAGAACTAATCTACATGAGCTTTAAGGCATGTAAAAACTGTGAATTTGGATTTGCAGGTGCTGCAATTTCTAGAGAAATGTAAAGGAACCTAGTAATCATCGAATCATAGAATGCTTTGGGCTGGAAGGCACCTTTAAAGGTCATCTAGTCCAACCCCCCTGCAATTGGCAGGGACATCTACAACCAGATCGGGTTGCTCAGAGCCCCATCCAGCCTGACCTTGAATGTTTCCAAGGATGGGGCATCTACCACCTCTCTGGGCAACTCGCTCCAGTGTTTCACCACCCTCATCGTGAAAAATTTCTTCCTTAGATCTAGTCTGAATCTACCCTCCTTTAGTTTAAAACCATTACCCCTTGTCCTATCACAACAGGCCTTGCTATAAAGGCTATCCCCATCTTTCTTGTCGGCCCCCTTTAAGTATTGAAAGGCTGCAATAAGGTCTCCCTGCAGCCTTCTCTTCTCGAGGCTGAACAACTCCAGCTCTTTCAGCCTTTCCTCACAGCAGAGGTGCTCCATCCCTCTGATCATTTTTGGGACTCTCCTCTGGACCCAGTCCAACAGGTCTATGTCCTTCCGGTGCCGAGGACTCCAGAGCTGGACGCAGGACTCCAGGTGGGGTCTCACCAGAGCAGAGTAGAGGGGCAGAATAATAATACTACTATTAATATAAGTAATATACATACACGAACCAGATTCTGACTTTTTGATACACTTGTTCTGGTGAGAAAAATCTAAATCATGAAAAAGCAAATTTGGTCTCCTAAGTCAATAGAATGTTTTCCATCTATCTTATGAACTACAGGAAAGTATTAGTTCTCATCTAGTGGATACTGATTTCCACCTTCTGTCTGTAAAATCAAATAGACAATCATAATTACTGTAAATACATTTAATGAAAGTTCAGAATTTCTTTAAATGGGCCATTTTCATTTAATTCCCTATACAGACAATCTAATCTAAGTCATTCTTCTCTGAAAAATCTTGATTTATGCATTTAATAACCTCTTGGACTTCCAAGGCAAGCCAGATTCAGGACTGAATAGCTGCTGTGTCAAACTAAAAATGATAACCCAAGCTCTGTGTGCATTAGCTATGTGCCTTGAGATTGGATTCTATAGCATCTAATAAGGTATGAGCTCCATTTGAAGCTCTTTCCAAAAAATAGAGTATTCACAACTTCTGTATCCTCTTTGAATTCTTAGTCACTTGCAGCCAAGAGTGTACTAAAAGTGACCCTTTTTCACACAGAGATCTGTTTTCTTGAAACACGTGGGAACCTCAGTACTTCTAGGTCTGTCATTCCTCTGTCAAATTTGATTCAAATTGGGCAGGGTGTTAAAAAAATACTGCAGGACATGCTGTCCAAAAAAAGGCCTACCTTTAGCAAACCAGGCTACAATATAGCCTTTAGCATTAGCAAGAGAAACAAAAGACAGTGTTTCTTTTCAATCACTTAAAAAGATTGGTTTTAAGTAGTGGTATTCAGATAGAAAAAACTCTTTGTTAATTGAAATTACTACAAATTTTAAATGCTTTTTTCAGACACGGTTAAACATGTAGACAGAGATTTTTAAGCAAATGAAAAGTTCCATTACATTGTTTACATTTTTTCAAGAACACTTTTAAATTCTTCTATTCTAAAAATAGAAGCATGTAAAGAACAAAAGAATTTTAGAATTTTCTATGTAAAATTTTTAAATTTTTTAAAATAAGCATTTCAGTTAATTTTAGAGCACTATCCCAGGCTCCCACTTTCTTTAAAGTATTATCTTTACATGAAAGTCAATATCATATTGCCAGTATATGAATTTAAATACACATCCTCACTGTTTTTTTTTTTCAGTTTAGTTGCTGTTTCTCCAAGCAAGTTCTAAAGTGTTTCCAAATAAGTTTAAAGACATCCAATTTATTTTTATTCCAGTAAATTGCCTTCTCAAGTGGCATTGTATCCTTAAGGTGTGATATCCAGTTATTAACTGCAGAAAATACTTAGAATTCCCTGGTTCATAAGAGTATCTCTCCTAGCAATAACTAGAAGCACTAGATATAAGGATCTAGAATAATGCTTTCAGTAAGATATAAAAATATAATTGAAGCAAGATAAGGAATACAAGGAATAGGTTTACATGAACACATACGATATTTATCTGTCATTGTTCAACAAGGCTCAGTGCCGGGTCCTGCGCTTGGGTCACAACAACCCCATGCAATGCTACAGGCTGGGGGAGCAGTGGCTGGAGAGCTGCCTGGCAGAAAAGGACCTGGGGGTGTTGGTCGACAGCTGCCTGAACGTGAGCCAGCAGTGTGCTCAGGTCGCCAAGAGGGCCAATGGCATCCTGGCCTGTATCAGGAATAGTGCGGCCAGCAGGACCAGGGAGGTGATAGTGCCCCTGTACTTGGCACTGGTGAGGCCGCACCTTGAGTACTGTGTTCAGTTTTGGGCCCCTCACTACAAGAAGGACATTGAGGTGCTGGAGCGTGTCCAAAGAAGGGCAACAAAGCTGGTGAAGGGTCTGGAGCACAAGTCTTATGAGGAGCGGCTGAGGGAGCTGGGGTTGTTTAGCCTGGAGAAGAGGAGGCTGAGGGGAGACCTTATTGCTCTCTACAACTCCCTGAAAGGAGGTTGTAGCGAGGTGGGGGTCGGTCTCTTCTCCCAAGTAACAAGCGATAGGACAAGAGGAAACGGCTTCAAGTTGTGCCAGGGGAGATTTAGATTAGATATTAGGAGAAATTTCTTCACCAAGAGAGTGATTAGGCATTGGAACAGACTGCCCAGGGAAGTGGTACAATCACAGCCCCTGAAAGTATTCAAAAACATGTGGATGTGGTGCTTAGGGACATGGTTTACAGGTGGGCCAGGCAGTCAGGTTAACAGGTTGGACTCGATGATCTCAGAGGCCCTTTCCAACCTCAACGATTCTATGATTCTAAGTGTAAGAGAACAGAAAAATTTAGGTAGAGGTATCCTTTCTTGACTAGTCTATGAACTTTTACTATTTTCAATTACATGTTCTATATTTTAACATTTACAAGTAGTTTGCAACAACATTCAAAAGTAATTTACAACTCAAACCTGGCTTTCTACTACAGGTAAAGGCAAACTTTTAACAAGGTGAACATTAACACGAAGATGATTACTTTAGACTTGCCCCTCCGCAGCCTGTCATGCATGTAAATCTTGTGATTACGTAGCCTGTAAAGGTTACCTTTTGATCATTATTCCACCTGATTCACTGAAAATCTTGCCAAGTGTGGAAGCATCTTCCTCCTCCTCCAGATTTTTTTAATTTTTTTTTTTTTTTTTTAAACACACACCATTCTTGCACCTTCTTCGGATAAGCCCAACCACCCACTAATATTTTGGGTGGATTTACTACAGCCTCCTCGGAGTAGCAGCACAGAGATGCCAGCTGCAAGCTTTCTTTCCTGATTGGACCAATATAACTATACAGTACAGGAGAATATTATTCAAAATATTACCTTACAAATATAGGTTAGGGATTTGCCAGACAGAAAACCAGAATTGAGCATCTGAGAGACTAAGCAGAAGCCTGCCCAAACTCAGAACTAAGCAGAAGTCTACCAAAACTCAAAGCAGTACGGTGGATATTTATTACAAAATACGAACAGCCACCTAAAGAGAGTTATCTGTGACATTTGCCTTGTAAGTATTGGATATGTAAATATTGTTTCCATTTTCACAGGCAAGATTTACCTTACACCCACATCAGCATGTTCTAATTTGTGCCACTGCTTTCCTTAGCTCTGATTTTGTGTACTACTCTTTCTTCACAACACTGATTTTTTTAACAAGTCAGTCGATTGTCAAACTCTTAATCTGCATGAGAATTACACTGCCCAAGTTTTTGGACTTTTAAAATACAACTGCATTGGATTATGTTTCTTGGATGCAACAAGAAATTAAGCTTTGAAAATTAAGTATCACAATACAGTTTTCCTTTAGGAAGATACCTTCAGAAGTAATCTACTAGCAGTCTGAGTGCAGTAAGAACAGCATCATGCTACATAAAGTTTATCTGAATGATAAAAGTATTGATTATTTTTAAAATTAATTTAAAAATATATTCATACCTAGACAATGTGTCAGAATTGTCTGAACTTTGCTACTAGCTTAACATTTTTTTAAAAATATTTTTGTTTATTCTTCCTCAGCTGCAGCTAGCAAGCCCTGAAATGTCATTGCTTACAGGCTATTTGCACGCTCAAGCTAATCTAAATTGAAACTCTTCTCATTTTTGACCCAAGGGAATAAACTGCAATCAAATACAAATTGCAAAAATATTCAGCATTATAATTCAGTTTCCTGTAACCTGAGTTTATAGTCATCTCTGGTTCCCTTTTTTATATCTACTAACCAAATCCCACCATTCTTACATAAAAGATGAATCTCAATCTGTAAACAGTTCTGTATTTACGCTCCCACAAAATTTCATTATCATTTTTTCCACTTTCACATTCTTCAGATAGAATGTTCCCTTGACTGCTGCCAGTAGTTTTTTCAGAAATTTACTTAAAGCAAATGCTTCTCAATGACCTGTTGAAAAATAAAACTCAACATGTATATAACAATAAAATTAATGTACTGTTAATGGTTCCTACCAGCTCACTGCTAAGTCGTGCATTTTTAAAATGTGGCTCAGTTTATACTCTCCAGATTTCAGGGGTTGAGTATATTCTTTAGCATGCACAAGTTATGGGTTCACTTGAGTATCAACAGGGAACTCTAAATCCTGGAGAAAAAAATAAAATCACCAATTGTCAAAAATGCTGCATAAATTCATATAATGTACTACTTATTATGTTACTATTTTGAAAACACAATTTTGTCTTATTTTTTCATTCTATTTTTCTCCTCTGTTCAATTTTCAACAATTTTTACAATCACTTTTGTCCTTACTTTATTAATTTTGATACATATTGTTAACGCTGACTGCAGGCATAACTGGAAGACTGGGGCCTGTAGTGAACAACTGAATACTATGAGATTTATTAGTTTATTCTTTTAAAATTATATTCCTATGAGTTAACTTCTGGACAGTTATATCAATATAGCACTGCTCTAGAAAGAGATCAGCCATCAGTACTCATCATTATCTGCAACCAAGTACAAATTCAACGTTCATACCAGCAAAACCTCTTCTTCCCCCAAAACAGAAAAAAAAACCCCTCCACTTATGTAGTTCAACATAACAGCAATGGGAAAGAAGCAACTCGACACTGTGGATACAGAGAGATATAGTAAAAAATGGCAAATAAAATTTTGCTGTCATTTATACTCATAACAAAGTTTGTGTAACGATGTGGGTGTAAGCGACAAAGACTTGGCCTGACACTTTTATTGTTAATGTCATTTATGTACCTGCTACATAATGAGATATGATGTTTAAAAAGGAAGGCTGTTAAATTGTTAGTATAAAATCCCCTGTATTATACTCAGGACAATCTCTGGTTTTAGTAAGTATTTTGTGAAAGACAGTCAAAATTCGGGTAAATTAATTATTTTTCCTTAAACAGAAAAAAATGTTTTAAAATTGTTTAACAGTAAGTTTAAAACTACCTATTTAAGATGCAGTGATCTACCCTGCACTGGACCATCTCACGATTAAAAGAAGTTGAGTTCTAGAAATCTTTCAATTCCATCAGCTAGCAGCCAGATAGCTCCTTAATTTGGAATGGAAGAACTATTCTCATTGTCCAAATCACTCCATTTATATTTTATTTCCTTCTCTTTATTTTTATTATGCATACCTCCCATACTGGAGATGAAAAGAATAAAGTTTAGCCCTACTACCACGCTCTGCGCAGCATGGTCTGTGGTGTAATTACTGATTTATCAGCTAAATGAAACAGTTTCCACTATGATTATAAATGGAAAAGTCATACAAACATGGAGAAGGGCTGTGTATGCACATAGAAACAATACAACACAAGGGAAAGCACCTACAGGTAAATAACCTTTTTTCTCCTTTGACTTCAAACATATATATACATTAGACTGTGAGTAACTCCAGGTAGTATTTCCCAAAGATCACTATTACCTGGATAAGAAGATCCTTTTCTCTACTTGACTAAAGATTGAAGGACCAGTTTCACACATGCCACGTAATCCTCAATAAAATTCACCAACACAGTAACACTTGTTGAAGAGGGAACTGGAATTCCAGGGTGCAGTTCAGAGGAGACATTTTCCAAGTCACTTGCTGATGCTGTTCAACAGCGTTGACTACACCAGCAGGCAGTTCCAGATTTGCAGCTTTTGAACAGCCTCTCCAAAGCAGCAACCCAGGGAGACAGCATCTGCCTCTGTAAAATTCACTTACAGACCTGAAGCAAAGTCCTTTCTTCAAGGCTTTTGTTCGCTCATCGTAAAAGGACAAAGACAGACCTGACATTCAGGAGGTCTCAGCCCTGGCAGTCTGTGGCTTCAAGAACAAACAGGAAAGCTAGTTTTGTATTTCAGATGAAACTAATTATACATTACACGTGAATTTAGAATGAACTCTGAAGATAACTTTATCTATGTGGAATAGGACATCTTAACAGTGTGCTATACAGACTTCTCTCATTTGGTAGAAGTGACAATCATGAAGAAAAACTTCCTCATCATCAGATAATGGAAGGCAAAATCAGATGTTGATTGAAGTGGATTGCTCAGCAAAGATTCATGGATAACATGCTTAAGATCCACTGCAGCACTGGATTCCCAAAAAGGTCCAAATCCTTCAGATATATATACTGAGCAGACAGGAGAATACAAAAATACCGAATGCCAACAGAATACTAAGATACCCTGAGCTGTTAGCCCAGTTTTCTTCAGCTCCAGCAGTTAACCTAAGGGATAAGAACCACAGAATTATTGCCAGCCTGCACCAGCTTAGGAGCAGAAAATCTGGTGCCCTGGACACTGCAGGGACATTCTTGCTATTAATCAAGAACCTTACTGTAGACTTGATATTCAGCATGCATGCTATGCTAGAGGGGGCTGAGGTTTCCACAATAAACCTTCTCCAACTGACCTCGAGTCAGACACGAGCAGACTTGAGGTTTCAGGCTCTTCACTAAAAAGAACACAGATTTCCTGGAGCCACGATGGGCTTTGCCAGGTAAGGAGCAGAAGGGATTGCAGCATGAGAAGAGTTCTGGATAGAAGGAAACAAACAGATCAGCTTTCCCAAATAGGAAACTAGGAAATTATTCAGCATAAAATAAAGAAACTGGCCCTGAATTAGACAGAACAGTCCTTCATACTGATATTCAAGTCAAAGAAAAAGACTTCAGAGTAATTTCAAATAGCTATTTGGACATCATCATCACCTGCACTTACCATTTACAATCAGCTTGAAATAACTGTCCAGGTTTTTAGGTAGGCAGATACCATACAAAGGTATTCAAAACTCATGACTTCAAAAAGAGCAGCTTTGCTAAAGAGGGCTGATATTACTTCTTGATACAGAATATGGGGGGGGGGGGGGGGGGGGGGGTTGTCAGTTTCTGTTTGGGGGGGTATAGAAAAGAGAGGTGTTTTTTTTTTTTTAGAAAAAAATGGGGGGGGGGGGGGGAATGGGGTGTTGTCAGTATCTGCATGTGAGGGTATTAACTACATTTGAGCATCAAGTTATTATTAACAGTTAACCATATGTTTTAAAATAACAAATGAATTTTCCAGACCAAAAGAAAAACCTGTTACTATGGAGCTGGATGATAGAGCTAAACTGACAAAATTAAATGCATGTATGTTTTAGTACTGGACACAGCCCACTTGGTCTCACCTATGCACAGCTGACATGTCCGAAAAGGGGGATTATACAAGTATGATCAAGTAGTACTAAGTTGAGAATATCTGTGAGTCTGTCCTGGCTTTACAGTCTGCTCCAGTGATATTCTTAGAAAAACTGAAAAAACTCTCTTGTAAGTTCCAAGAGTGAGTTACGTTTGATTAGTACAATGTGGTAAAAGGTACCAGTTTAGGTGGTATTAACAATGATCTACTTTGAGCTGCGACTTCAGAAGCTGAGGACAAGTATGAGAAAGCTTCTAGGTACACCAGGCAGTGAAGAGAAGCTGTATCACAACGTGGGGCTGAACTGCAGACAAAGGAGCTTCAGTGGTTGCAAGAAGCCTCAAGGAAAAAAAATGGATAAGATAAATGGCATACTACTGGCATGAAACACTGGACTAGAACTGGGAATGAAGGTTTGTATCAGCCTCCCTTTGTGAGATTACTGGCATGGGCTATTTTCCATTTTTCCGTGGCCTATTTTTTTTCTACCACTATTTTCCATGAAGGTGAGCTCTAGGACTTGCATCAAGAGACAGATCTATATTCTTCAAAAGACTTTTCTTGCAAGTATAATGTTTATAAAAATCCAAAATACATATATACATAGTTAATCTTGCAGCCTCATTTTCAATCAGTGTGGTCTAAGATATTTTCTAAGATTAGTCAGCAGACTAGGAGATTTATTACTAACTCTAATTAACCAAGCTAAATGGCTTTATTAAAAATAGATTGTCATTAAAGAATGTAAGGAGGGTAACTGCACATAATATATTTTAAGGACTACAATAGTCATTACAAAACCACTTACAAAGACTATACAGTTTTCTGAAGACTTAGCTGATCATTTGTGTTTGCAACATTTTCAGGACATCCCGCTGTGAGAAGCTTTAAAGCAAAGACTGAAATTACCGTATTCTTTAAAATACCTATCAACCACTAAGATTAAGAATGGACTAAAATCAATGCATTTTAATCTGAAAATGTACACACACAGCAGGGGTAACCACTAATTTTTTTTTAGATTTTGTTTGCACTTAACTTGATGGTAGCCATTCTGTTAATTTGTAGGAATGAGTGTACAGCAAATTTCTGAACTACAGACTATCAAACGTCATTTTGTCTTCTATTTAAGAAGCTGTCTACACCACGTGTTCTATAAGAATGCTATTAACCCGTCAAACTTTTTAAATGATCATGAAAATAATTAAGCTAATGACTTAATGATCAGTGTAAGTGCATCTATCACAGACCCAAGACCTAGAAGGTATTTTTCAGTGGACTGTGGCTTCAAACACATACATAGCCTAACAAAACCACTCCAAAATCTGGTTTAGTTTTTTTTGGTTTTTGTTTGTTTGTTTTTACTTGATTATAAAAAAAGGTAAGACTGGATCTGACAGAAGCTGGAGATGTTCACTGCTAAGTTTTGTTCCATCTAAACCATATTTAGGTTTCCTCTTTGAAGCTAAAAAGCTACCTACAGAGTTCTGTTTGCAGAAAAGCTTCTCAGTATTATTATCCTATGCAATTATTTTGTAAGCTTTTATAGATATGCAAAACTTTAGCTTCAAACTGCCTTAACGATGCTCAGAAATCACACTCCCAGAACACTGGACTCAATTTCCATGGAATGGTAGGGACTTAGAATGGTGACTGACATAGGACATCATGACTGGAGAGGAAGACAGAATGTGGGAATCATGGGAATCAAAATCATCCTTTGTTGCCTTAACTTGGGTATTAGCAAGATACCTACATCTTGTACTAAGGTGCTAACTAAAAATCTATGTCTTCAACTAGCCATTTCACATGGATTAGCCATCTGTTTAAATACAGTTTTCTATATTTCCACTTACTTATGTGTACTTAGGGGTATACTAAGAAGCAAAGTGGAGCTTAGAAAGAAAAATCAACCTCAAATGAACACCTAAATTCTTAAAATTCTATGTG